AGACGGGGGGGACCCAAGTGTAGGGAGCTGGAGCGTGCACGGTGTCGACGACGACCCGCAGCGGGGGGGATTGCACCCTCCAGCCCAGCCACCGGCCCCAACAATTCCATCAAATGAAAACGGCGACGCGGGGATAGAAACAGGCCCAGCTCCATTGGCGCCCCACCACTCAGAGGAGCCAGAACCAGACTCGCAGCAGGGGCAGCGGGGACGTGGAGCGGGGTGGGGTACGCAGCAAGGAGTCCTGGAGCAAGCGCGGGCGTAACCGATGGAGCGTGGCGGCACCCCACAAAACGCCCTGCTGCCATTTGCGATGGGGACCGGCGAGGACTCGCATGCCGTGGGGACGCGACGCGCGAGACGAGGCAGACGGGGCAACCGCAGAGGTACAGGCGGACGGCTAGGGGTGTGCGTATCTAGGCGCAGACGACCAGTCGCGAGAGCGGGGAACTGGCGGGAGAGGTACGGCAGGCCAGAACAACAGGAAGCGGAAGGCGACCAGGAAGGGACTGACGAAGATGGGGACAGCAGGGGGGATTATGTACCATCGGAGGAGCAGGCCTCAGCGAGCGCAGCATCATCAAACCACGCCTCGGAAGACGCAGTTAACCGTCCGCGCCGTGAGGGATACCCGGCGAGGCGACGAACTGCAGGAGAAGGCGCGATGAGAGTGCCCACGCCTGATCCAGCGGGACCGCGGGAGCCGGAGGACCTAGCCACTGACGAAGAATTGTGGCGACAAGCCATCGAATGGGACGTGAGACCACTCCAGAGCACGCGTCAGCCATTCCTGATTCGACAACTCCCCCCCAGAATTCTGCAGGCATACTGTGAATTTCTGCTCGTACCCCTGACACGTTTGGCGGAAAAACGGGACTGCATGGGGGCTTGGCGAGTCCTAACTTTTCTCCCCCGCCTGACACTTAACCCACCATCGGCCAATGAGGACAGGTGGAGGACAATTAATCGCAGATTTTCGCAATTCAGAACCGGAAATTGGGGGTCGCTGTATGAAGAGAGTGTAGCTGCAAAGACGGGCAGCCCGCAACAACACAAACAACAGGACTCAACTGGTCTACGTGCACAGTCCGAGGCGCTGGTTCGGAAGGCAAATCTAGCGAAAGTAGTCTCGGCGTTACAACCAACCGCGACTTCACCACCAACAGAAGCGACTCTCGCCTGCCTTCGCCAAAAACACCCCACAGACGATCGGCCTATCCCAGCGCACCTTGAGGCCTGCACGACATCAGACCTGGCGATTGACCACGCGGACCTCAAGCGAATCCTCGCCAAATGCCCGCGAGGCGTGGGTGCAGGCCAATCAGGCACGTGCCTGGAGCACATCCGCGACCCGGCACTCGCCAACAGTCAAATTTTCAACTTACTGCTTGACTGCGTCAACTACACCTTGGGCACGACACTCCCACTGGAGATCGGGTCGACAATCCTACCGTCGAAACTCATCGCACTTAGCAAACCAGGAGGAGGGGTTCGCCCTATAGCAGTGGGGGAATGCTACATTCGCATCGTTGCAAAAGCAGCAGTCTACAAGCTAGCGCCCATTACCCGGACGTTTTTTCTCCCGTTTCAATATGGGGTAGCAGTATCGGTTGGACAAGAGTGCGTCATCCACACGACAAGGACCCTACTACAGACGCACCCCAGCCACGTGGCGATCCAACTGGACGTAGAAAATGCTTTCAATAGCGTTTTCCGCGCGGCCTTCCTGCAAATCTTGAGTTGGAGCGCCCTGCATCAGCTACTCCTGCTGGCTTTGACCCTATACAGGGCGGAAAGCACTCTATTGCTCGACGAGGCCTTCGGGACGACGTCGCTGCTCAGTGCCAGGGGCGTGCGCCAGGGTGACCCGCTGGGACCTCTGTTGTTTGCAGCCGCCATCCAACCAATCCTAGCACGAGTGGGAAAATAGTGCAGTGACGTCGCCATCTTGGCGTACGCCGACGACATCACAATCGTAGGCCCTCCCGAGGCAGCGGCGGTTGCATTCAGACATCTACAGTCAGGCCTACAAGAGCTGGGGCTGTCCTGCAACCTGGCCAAGTCGGCGGGATGGTCGGTGCTCGAGTCCAGCCGCGCAAGCTTACCTGACGGCATCGCGCGAAAGCACGATGGACTCCGAGTGCTGGGCAGCCCAGTGGGCACCCCCGAGTACTGCGCAGCCTTTCTGACAGCGGAACTCCAAAAGGCGGCTACCCCACTGCCTCAGCTGGCAGTCCTCCACCCACAACACTCCCTCCTCCTCCTCACGCGTTGCATCTCACGGAGGGCAACCTTCCTGCTACGCACCACCCCGTCGGACGCGATACCCGTCCAGAGATGGAGGGAATGGAGTGAAGAGCTCTTTCGCACAGCACTACAGGCAGCCAAGATACAAGCTTCGAGGGTCGAGCTTGAGTGGAGCCTAGTGTGGCACCAGGCCACCCTCCTAATTGCGCTTGGGGGCCTGGGCATTGTGGACCCCACCTCCGAGGCACCCGCCGCTTTCCTTGCCTCGACTTTGGCGGCAGGACAGCTACTGGCATCCCTGGGGCTTGCCGAGTCCCCGCTCATAGAGGCAGCGGCCTACCTCACTGGGAACCCAGAAGCCAGCCACCCACTGCACACCATACAAACCGACCTGCGCCACCGCCTCCCAACCCCTGCCAGACTCACCTGGGACGAAGCACGACAAACCACGGCCGCCAACAAGCCGCTACAACAGCAGCTGTCCCGAGAGACCAACAACCAGCGGGCTGAAGAACTCTTTGCGGATACCCTCCTGGACAGACCAGGACACGAGAATGCGCACGGCACCCGCCTAACCAGCCTCCGAGGGATGGGCGCCGGCGTCTGGCTCCTAGCCATTCCTACCCGTCCGGACCTCACCTTCACACCAGGGGAGTTCGGGACGGCACTGGCCTTCCGCCTCGGGCTACCCCAGCCCATCCCGGGACGCTGCACCTGCAGGAGAGAGACCATACGGGACCCGAGCTTGGCAAATCACCTCTTTCGCTGCAAGTACGGACCCCACGTTAAGGGCCTCCACAACGCACTGGTCTTCTCCGCACTCCGCATGGCTCGGGAAGCACGGTTCATCACTTACTAAGAAACCACACAATTCACCGTTCCGGCAAACCGCAAGAGGGCAGACCTGGCGGTACGGAATGAGGAGAGTGGAGCAACGTGGGTCACAGACGTCACCATGACAGACCCAGTGCTGCAACGCCGAGACAAGGACGCAGGAGGTCAGCCGGGCTGGGCTGCCCGGGAGGCGGCCAGAGCCAAGGAGCGGCTATACATACCCCGGCCCGCATACGTGGGGTTCTTTGCCCTGGCCGTCGAGACATACGGAGCACTTGCCTCGTCCACGGCGGAGTTCCTCAAGATGCTCGCCGATAATGCTGCCCTGGTCCGCTTCCGCTCCAACGAACTGACTACACCGGCCAAGCGGCTTTACTCACACTACCGCCAGTGCTGGTCCGTCCTACTGCAGCGGCTACAGGCTGGCACCATCATCTCCCGCTCCGGGGAATTACTACAGGCGGCATTCCCCGCGCCAAGGTCTGACCCCTGGGCACCCAGCCTGGGGGATCTGATGGCCACTCTGGACGTGGCAGATTCCTAGGTTTCCGGTTAATAGCGTTGGGGTAGCCTTTCCGGTTCATATACTTAGCTGTTTGACCATCTGTATCCTGCTTCCACAATCAATGAGAATGACCACTTGAGAGAGAGATAGAGAGTGAGAGAGAGAGGGGGAGAGATAGAGAGAGAGAGAGAGAGAGAGAGAGAGAGAGAGAGAGAGAGAGAGAGAGAGAGAGAGAGAGGAAAAAAAGAAGAGGAGGCGATAGATAGATAGCGAGGAAGAAAGATTGGTAGTGTGAGACAGAGAGTGAGAGAGAGAGATAGAGGGAGGGAGAGAGAGGGAGAGAGAGAGAGAGAGAGAGAGAGAGAGAGAGAGAGAGAGAGAGAGAGAGAGAGAGAGAGAGAGAGAGAGAGAGATAGAGAGAGAGAGAGAGAGAGAGAGGGGGGGGGGTGGGGAGAGAGAGAGAGAAAGAGAGAGGGAGAGAGAGAGAGATAGAGAGAGAGAGAGAGAGAGGGAGAGAGAGAGTGAGAGAGTGGGAGAGAGAGAGAAAGGGGGGGGGTAGAGAGAGAGAGTGCGAGAGAGAGAATGAGAGGGAGGGAAGGAGGAACTGATGCAAAAGATACGGATTCATCTCTCTAGCTCCCTCTCTCTATTTCTCTCGCGCTCTCATCTATTTTCTTTCAATCGCTCTTTGTCACTCTCTCTCGGAGATGGTCTATCTCTTCTTCTGACTCACAATCATGCTGCTGAACAGGATGCCTCCTTTGAAGAGCAGACAAATCCGCATGCGACTGCTATGCGGCTCGTACAAGAAACGGATGCACTCCCTATCGCGGTGGATGACAGCTCCTGTCTGCATAATGGGTGTCAGTCTGTCTGTGGCAATGGGCGGAAAGGGAATTGCCACTCTCGCGGATTTGTTGATCGTCTTCAGACTAGGGGCACCACGTGTGAGTGATTGGCTAATCCGGGTGGCTAAAAACTCAGGTATGCGCGCTTGTACATTTGTAACGTGTAACTGCAATTGTAAACCATAAGGGTTACAACTCCCTCTCTTCACACCAGGTCGTGGCAGAGGACGGGCTGCGGATGTTGTCGCGATGCATCGTGAAGCAGCAAGGCCAGCATTTTGGAAGCGCGTGAACAGCAAACCAGAATCCATCGGAGAAGTGGTACAGCGGGAGGGAGGAGATACCCAAGGGGTGGAGTACCACTTTCCGAGATGGGTGAAAGACCCAGTGGGGTTGCCTGTGCTCATGCGGCATCCAGCGAGTCCGTCACGTGCCACGGATGAAGGTGAGTGAGGGTGCTAATGTACAGGGAAGTGCAAGTGGTAGGAGTGTATCATGGTACGCTGTGATAGTACTTGACGACCCTCCCTTCTGCCAACCCCCAATGTCCTCTAACTAGGAACTCACTCCACCCTCCCCTCCCTAGAAGAATCCGACCCCGCGGAGGGGGAGTCAGAAGTGAGTGGGATGTCAGGAGATGGTGATGAGGGACGGATGAACGACAATGATAGTGATGATCGTGAATCAATAACAAAATCTACGGGATTGCGAAGGCGCGATGGGGGGGAAGCTGAGAACACAATTGCAGAGAGCGGACTTAATTCTCCACAGGGAGCGGCATCGCCTACGTTGCCAGACAGGTACCATAATCTTTATCTCCACTTCCCCCCCCCCCGAACACTTTGCGCGTGTCTCAAAATGATGCTAAGGCCATGCTAAGGCCAACTTCTCTCCTATCTCGCTATACAAATCTGTTTGACACACCCCCTAGACTGGACAAGGGGCAATGCCTGGCAAGAGACAAGCAACTTGGGGCGGCACTACTAGTCCAACCTCTGAGACAAGGGTCCGAAGACCAGTCAATAAGAGTACAAACTCGACAAGAGCAAGCGAGGGCGGCACTACTAGTCCGACCACTGGAACAGCAGCCACAAGGCCAATCAAGAAGGAATATATATAAAAGGAGTACACAATCAAGGTCCGAGAAAATGAGGAGCTACAAGAAATAGACCAAGCTGCAAAAAGTCTCGCAGATGATCTTAAGGCGCAAGCGCCTTAGTAAAGATATCAGCTGTGTTGGCACCGGAGGCCAAGTGTACTACGCGGGCCTGGCAACGCTCCTGTAGCTTGCGTAGGAGGAAGTACTACAGCTGGATGTGCTTCGGTTTGCCCTCGATTTGAGGCTCCTGACACAGGAGGATCATAGCCCTGTTGTCAGCGTACAGGACCGAGGCAAAGCTCGGTCGCTCACCTAAGTCGGTGAGCAAGAAGGTCAGCCAACGGAGCTCGTGTGCCGCCATGGCACCGGCATAGATCTCAGCGTCACAGCGAGACTGGGCAACAGACGAGGAGCGAGTGGACCTTCATGAGATCGCACCTGAACAGTAGCCCTGTGAGGACCTGATTGTCTCAGCATCATCTGCCCACGAAGCGTCTGTGCGTCCTCCCAGCACGAGTCCCATGCCTGATGTACTTCCTAGATAACACAAAACCCTCTTAGCGGCCGACCAGTGCTGTGGACGGTGTCTGCCTGACGCCACAAAGCGAGCCAGATTGCTGAGAGGGTATGCGAGATCTGGACGAGTGCAAGTCATCATGTACATGAGGCAACACACCAGCTCAGCGTAAGGACCAATGGGCCCTACAAACTCCTCAAGAACTGGAGCAGAGAGCCAGTGGTCTACTGGCAGAGGTGTGGGCTGTGCAGAGGAGAACTGAGGACCGAACCTCTAAAGGACCTGGTGCACCAAGTGTGACTGTGTAAGAGTGATTGTGGCGCTGCACTGTCCCTGGAGATCTGCAGGCCAAGGTAGCGGTGCAGCTCTCCTAGGTAAGTGCAGGTGTGTCTCCTCAGCACCTCAGCCTCATGGAGGCTAGTGCGTCTCTGTCTGCAGTAGTAAAGACCAGAACGTCTACATAGACTAGAACGGGGTCTGGCCAGCACGAACGAAGAGCGAGGGGTCAGCAGACGACGGGAAGATTCGCAGGTCAGCTAGCGTAGCATGTAGAGTGTCGTGCCACTCAAGAGGCGTCTGTCGTAGGCTGTAGACCGGGCATCGGAGGAGCCATTGGGTCCCAGGAGGGAAGGAACTGGTGAAGCCCTGTGGATGGTGCAGGTAGACCTGCTTGTGTAGGCTGCCCTTAAGAAATGCTGTGGAGAAGTCGAGGGAGTGTAGCTCATAGTCACGCTGTGCTGCTACACGTAGCAGCACACGAAGAGTAGTCATCTTCAGGGTCGGGGTGAAGGTCCGAAAGAAGTCCACACCCTCCCCCTGACTGAAGCCTCTAGCCACGTAGCGCGCCTTGAACACATGCGGCTCTCCAGGGGGGCACTTCACGTTAAAGAGCCACCGGCCATCGATTACGTTCACCCCAAGTGGGGGAACTGCGTCGACGTAGGTGCCGGTAACCCTCCAAGATGCCATCTCCTGCTCCATGGCAGCTATCCATTGAGAGGTCCAGGGTCCCGAGGTGGCCTCAGCGTAGGTGCGAGGGGTCGGGATGTCAAGGGCGTCTAGGTCACCCTCACGGACTAGCAGCATCGAACAGAGATGGGGAGCGGCCTCAGACAAGAAAGCAAGCTCGTACTCCCTCTCCTCTAGGACGTCACTGCCTAGGGCAGGAGCACCGCCGACTGACGTAGGGCACGCAGGGCTAGAGACCAAAGCTGTGGCGTAGTCAAGGCAACGGGTAGAGGCGAAGTTAATGACAGCAGCGACAAGAGCGTCAAGACTGAAGAGAGGAACAGACAGGTCGGTAACAAGGGAGGCATGGACCCGAGGAACAAGAGGACGAGTGGCACGAATGTAGTCAGACAGAGGAGGCGGAGCGACAACGAGTGACGACGGAGAAGGCGAGGGGAGGAGAGGAGGATGAGACGCGTGGGAACGCAGCAATATGGGATGAGAGCACTCGTCTGGAGATATAGGACGAGCACGAGAGGGACGGCGAGATCAGAAGTGGGACGGAGGCGTCGGGTTAGGAGATACAGGAGGAGCCACAGGAGGAGAACGAGGTGGGAAACGAGAGTCCGACGGAGGAAATTCAGGGTCGTAGATAGGCATGGGAGGCGGCGACGGGGGAAGCGCAGGCGGGTGGTCAGGGGAGGGAAGGCCAAGCAAGCGAAGGGCAAACACCAGTGGCGACTGCTGCTACTGTTGCTCCACGCCGACACCAGAACCTCCAGCTACAGCATGGCTACCTTCGGAATGCTCCACTCCAGCACCCCTAGAACGAGAACCCTCTCCAGCACTGGTGCCACCCCCGTTACCGCCGGGAGCAGCCACGACATGAACCCCTGGACAAGCACCCTCCTCAACGCCCGCACCCCTAGAGCCCACGGACGGCTGCTGCTGCTGTGGCGGCGACTGCGGCGGTGACTGCGGCCGCTACTGCGACGTCGGAGGAGGAGACACCGGGGGAGAAACAAGCGGCGAGAAATGCGCCGCGGGGCCACCAGAGTGAGCCGACTTCTCGACCGGGACAACCGACGGGAGGGGAGTGACGTGAGAAACACCAGACGGAGCAGGACGGGGTGGGAGGAGAGCAGGGGCTACCAGGGGGGTGGGAACCAGAAACAAGGGTGGGGAAACCAGGAGACCTTGATGGGGAAAGCGGTGGTAGAAGAAGATAGACTCCTCGAAAATGACGTCATGGGAGTGAAAGAAGCGGTGAAACGGCGGGTGGTAAAAGTACCAGTCAGACGAGTCAAGGGGGAAACCGAGGAAGACATAGGGGACAGTGCGGGCAGTGGATTGTCCGTGCCAGAGGCATGAACGTGAGCGAGGCAGCCCTAGACGTGGAACACGGACGCGTCACTAGGGAACCTGGTCCAAAGAAGGGTTTGCGAAACCTGCGGCCGCTGGGAGTGCGGCCACAGGTTAAGCTGGTGAGCGACATAGCGAATGGCGAACGACCACAGAAAATGGGGTGCACCGACATGGAGCATGGAGGTACGAGCCACCTCCATGACCAAACTGATGCATCGCTCACCGACCCCATTCTGCTGTGGGGAGTCCGGTAGGGTGTACGACTGGGTGGTGCCCTCCGCACGACAGAACTGTCCAAGCCGACTGGAGGTGAACTCGCCACCACGGTCGGAGTGGAGACACAGCACAAGGAGACCGCGGTGGAGGCACGCAGGTACGATCCACGGAATAAGAACGACATGCATGTCGGCCTTCCGCTCCAAGGGAAACACCATGGTGTAGCGCGTGTAGTCCTAGACGAGCACGAGAAAGTAGCGCTCGCGTCGCGGCCCAAGGACTGGGGCTAGGCCTCAGACGTCCAAGTGCAGGGTCTGGAGTGGCACGGTGGCAAGGCGAAGCGAGGAGGAATGAGGGGTACGGCGCAGCCAGCCCTCGACGCAGGGAGTTCACGGCGGCGCAGGCGAGGGAGGGAGGGCAGGGAGGGACGCAGGGAGACCTAGGACGAGACCGTGCTAAGACATATGACGCAGAGGCGGGAGTGCGGGGTGACCTAGGTGGTGGTGCCACAGAAGTGACGCGTGAGTGAGCGACCGACACGAGCAAGCCGCAATGACCTGGGTAGACGCAAAACCCGGGGAGGACGTGCTC